CTGGGCAGAAGCTTCAGAGTATAGTATATTTACCCTTCGGCTAATATGCGGCGAGATATTATATTTACGTTACTATTATTGATGTCACAGTAGAAAATAACTCGGGGATCAGACAAAAAGGTCGTTGGGAGAAAGGACCTTTGGTTATTTGCTTGGTAGGGCGTCCCGCCATCCCGCCGCGGGCTGGCTGGGCGGCAGTGAGGCGCCAGCCGCGGGCAGGGCAGGCCGCGTCCCGCTGCGCCGCTCCCGCGCAACTGAATACTATAAACAATACACTGTGAACTGTTTCTTGTGAATCGTAGTGCATGTGTACCCAGTGTAGTTTAGATACCCACCTCTAACAATAATTTGAACCACAATATATGTCTCATACTTACGATAATGAGGTATAATAAAATATAATTCGACACCATCGTAAAACAAGAAAGATACGATAATTTAATTACATCGAATATCAAATACCTAATATAATTTTATGAGATTTCAATACATTATCGAAATTCGATTTTTAGGACAAATTTTCTGTAACAAAAAACACTTAGTACCAAAGGACCACGAACTAAAATCCTTGGATATTGTAGGACCAAGGACATTGTTTTACCGATACGTAGAAGAGAATTGAGAGATTTTTATCTAAAATTACCATACCAAGTGATCTGGCAGAGGTCTCGACATAAATATAAAACTTATTTGACAGTTCGAACTTAAAAATACTCAAACACCAATTGGAAATACTTTTGTAACAGAAATAGCAGAAAATACCAACAACCACAGTCAGTGCAAATATACATATTACTATAAAAATCGGTAGGATAATCTAAATATCTCATTTGGATGAAAAATATCTTTGTAGGTCAAGATAAATGTCTTTGTCAGCTCCAGGCTTTAATTTATCCTGAGGCCTTTACAACAACAGGATTTCGAGTCAAGCTAAGATTAATTGACTGATGCTTAATTAAAAATATGTTTTAACAACTTTCGTCGATACATTCTAATTTTACGTGTTCTTCATAATTATCCCATTTGTATTATATTTTAATAAGTACAGTGACAGACTACATAGAAAGGGAAAAAAATCAGCACTGTCAAGACAGTACTTATATTATCACACGTATAATAGTTCGCCAACGCGTCCAACGGTACACAAGAAACCTTTTTCATAATTAGATTTCACTTTGTATACTGGTAACGTAACTATTTAAATCTTCTGAAAGACAGTTACATCTACTCAATAGTCATACTAAGAATATTATCATCAAAGCTTATTAGTTTATTAAGAAACTTGAAACCTACAAATACATATATTATATATAAACCAAAAGTGTGTTACTCCTTGACGTTAAACCACTGTAAAGATCTGAATGAAATTTGGCATAGAGATTGATTATAGTTTTGAATAACGCTTACTTTTGAATAAACTGCTGGCGGATTTATAATTATAATGAAGTTTAATATGAATTAACAGACACGTCACTTACAGCAGTTAATTACGTTTTCATAAACCAACTGTTTGTATTTACCAATTAAAATAAAATAAAATAACAGCTCGCATTAATTAACACACAATTATCTACAATCACTTGATGAATCGATTTTATTGTGAAATGATTAACAAGGTGCAACCAGCATCAATTTCCAATTCCAATTAAACCACCCATTGAACAGTATTCATTGCAAAGGTGTCTATAATTATATCATTTACATGTATGAATTTCTAGAAATAAATTGTAGAACAATATACGAAGATTTCTATAGAAAAGGCTCGATAGAATCCAGAATTAATGGCACGCAATTTAAATTCAATTTCACATAAAATTGTAACTCAATGCCTAGTGTCCCGTACAAGACTTATAGCTCGAATAAAAGTAATAGGTTTACTGATACTTATCGGGACGTCGAACTAACAGCCTGTCACGCTGTTTACCGATACCATTTTTATACTTTTGGTCCTTCGGTACAACTGGTCCTTTTTCCCTAGTCTAAAAATAATACGTTACTTTTATATCAAACACACAATTCGTTCAAAATAGGCGAATAAGTAAATAAATGTTGCCAAAATTTTAATAGATTTTTGCATCTTTAAACACAATGAACTAAACTGAACGTGACCAAAAAGACAGTCCTGGCGTCAGGACAGACAACACAATCCAGGTATTGCAAAAATTACGTAATTAATAAATTAGCAAAAAATTCAAGAAAAACTAATAATTATCAATTTAAAACCGTGCCATTTTTACTTAGTATGCTAAGAAACAAATAGTGTAATTTGGCGACAATTCTTGGCAGCCTCCAGTTTAATACGTGGGATGCTATGACGTCACTATCCAGTAGGTGTATGGTAATAAAATCACATACGTGGAAGGCAATTTAAATTGCAAATATAGTTAGTGTGACAAAACCTTCATTTGGACCTACACTAAAAATATATTTTTGGATTTTATGAATGAGGTCAATACATGTATATATAGAAATACATTATTAACGTACTTGGATTTCGAACGACTTCATCGAATTGAAAAAATAAAACTTATAATTTTGCTTAACTAATATTATTAAATTCATCAGGTTTCGAACTCATTCGAAATCGAAACGAAGGCAGAAAGTTTTAGTGTCACCAAAATATAAATATTTATATCGGACAAAAAATTCCTTAAAAAGTAGATTCCATATTTAATATTTAACATGAAATACATTTGAAACCGCGCAACCACTACAGAGCAACAACTTGGTTTTCCAACGGAATAAGTAAAAACATATAATACGAAAGAAAACAGAAGAACTGAAAAGAACGTTATGAATATTGATAAGTCTTCATTACTTTTTGTTCATTTCTTTAAAACAAAACGTTGATTTCCCGACGTGACGGTGTTAAAGAATTAACGCCTTGTTCTCACTGTCTGATACGATACGATATTCAATTTAAAAGCTCGTAAGTCCTTTCCTTTACCTACTAAAATATTTTCCGGTCTTTATTGTGACGATAAAGTAAATTTAATCAGCAAATAACAGACCTATAATTATTCAACAAATCCTGGTTAAAGGACATATTTTGAATTACTTTTACTCAACACAATTTAAAATAAAAACCACACTGTATCACAAAATTTTAAATTAAAACAAAAAAGAAATATATGTATAAAACATCTTCTGTTTTACATTGAACCAACTGACATTGAACAAACGAATGAAAGAACAATTAAAATAATATTATTTAACATCAATGAATCAAATGGAGTCAATTACAATAGTTAATTAATCGTTTCGGTTACATTATTCATGTTGCGTTGCTGTAAACCCAGACGATCTGCTGACAGTCCGTTCTGAATCGTGTATTTTGTTCAATATTTATATGACAGACAAATTTAGTTTTAATGGGTGCTTACTAGCGTTGATTTTAATACACATTTCTAGAGGAGATTCCGAGGTAAAAAGAATTCGACTTCATACACAGTTCCATAGCACGGTAAAAAAAGAATATCCTAATTTTGTAAAAACAAAAAACTAAAGCATGTTAAAAAATCAATGAATACAACCTCAGCCTACCCACAATAAATTAATAATCTATTTTAGTAAGCTCTATGCAATCATGTTACCCTAGTACCTTGTTCCTCTCAATTGACTTAGTTTGCGTATATGACAGGTTCCTGATGCGGGGTAAAGGATGCCCCTCTTTCATCCCCTTGTCAACGTCACAAAGGTCTGTAACTATATTTTTATAGGGAGCGCCTTTTAGCTGAATGGTAATCCTTCGCGAGCGATCATTCTTGATGATGTATTGCCATTCAGAGGAACTGTTGTTGTCTGTTACAAAGATATTATATTAACAATGAAAGAAAGATGGGTCTTCATTTGTACTCGTATACTATTTTCGAAGTTAGCGAATATGGACTTTATGGAATGGATATATGTTTTGTTTTGTAGAAAATAATTATTATCATATTAGAATTGATTATTAAAACTCCTACACGGTACACACTCTAATAAAAATATTTCCACGCTGTAGTTTCAATGTTTTAGGCAACAGTAGAAAAATCATCAAAAATATTTTTAAATTAAAAAACATCGGAGCAAAGGACCAAACTGCCACATTTCCATAACGGAACGCGCGACAGTGGAAAAACACAACAAATGGGAAATAAATTCCGGGTTTTTTCCCGACGATATCCGACCGAGCACCAACTCCCGATGACTGAAAGGTTCATTTTTTAACGCGCAAATATTTTAACCGTGGTTTCGGCCCCGCTGTAATTTTACCCCGTGACGTTTGTTATATTGCTACAAATTGTGGATTGAATTTAAATTCGTGATTTAATTCTTCTGTCGTTGAGAATTAGTTTTCCTTACACTGTATACATTTAGGATAATCAACGTAATTTGAGACCTAATTAACAAATCTTATTTTGGTATTCAAATTGTAACAGATTCAGAGTACAGTCACCCGAAGATGATTTTCGATTGTGATAGCTCATTGTTAAGTAAATGGTCAGACTCGTAACCTAGGCGACTTAACTAGACGTGAAGTTCGCCAACGATGACAAAGGACAAACTCCCAACAAGACTCCCCGGAGATGTCCTCAAACGTATATCACAAACTACGGTAATTACCCTACCGACAATGTTATTACCCCATTTCAGTAGTACACCTCATTACCCTAATTCCTCCGAGACCTCTGCCAAAAGGTACTAAAATAGGTCTTAAATTTGGTCTTAAAATAAAAATGATCGTTGAAACGACCGCGTCGGAAATGTTGTTCAGCGAAATTAGTTGAAAAGGTTCACTTAAAATTATTTTTAGTGGACGCCTCAATTCATATTTTCGCCTTTCGTAAGTGTTAATAGGCTCTGTCACTTTGAGAAGTCCATTCTCAAGCTCATTTTCTTTTCGTTAGTAGAAAAAGTATTTGTGTGTTATAAAAAATAAAAAAATAACGTTTACTATACTATTGAAATAAAAAATATATGATTACAAAATCGAAAACTACGAATTAAAAACAAATAGAACAACAATTTCGAAAATTTAAAAGTGTCAGTGTCAAAACAATCAAAATGGCGTCATCTAACGGCAAAGAGAGTGCTAAAATGACAGCATCGATAGACAGTTTGAAGTTATCAAGCAAGAATACGTCAGTTTGTTCGTCAAAACACGCGTCATCAGAGTCAGTGTTATCAAGAAAAGACAAAGAATGTTTACAAATGCAAGAATGCAAAAAGAAGTTATTGGCTATGGAACCACAGATAATTATAAGAGATGAGAATGTCGTTCTAAGGTCCCCGCCACAGAAGAAAATTGTGATGCCGCCGACGATCAATGCAGAGGTAAGTGTTCAATATTTAAATAGGGCCATGAGAAGGGATGATTGCCCGTGGTGGATCCGGGTACTACGGGTCCTGTTGCCCTAGTAACCGGTTTTCGCAAATGGGTATTTCAGATACTTACAGCTATGTAAGAAATGGTAAATTTTGAAGACTTTTTGTGGTAAACATGTAATTTAAATTTCAATTGAAACAAATGAAATATAAAAATTGCTATGATAATTTTATCAATATAATATTGATAAACACTTAGTTGAATGAATAATTAAAGCTGCATAACTTATGCATGTACTGCATTATAGTAATTATCGACATGATTGATCTTCATATAACTTCATTTAACTTTTATATTTACTTCAAAACGTACTTAAATTAGTGGAGGCCTCTTTTCGCATGAAGAAGGTATGAGCATAAGAAGTTAGAAGGATTAATGATTTCAAACTCATGGTTCTAAATTTAAAGTAGGTTTTTTCTCTTTTTGTTTTTTCTTCACCGTACGCCAGTAATATCTAAATATTTTTAAGAAGCATAACTGAGGAAATATTATGTTGGTATTTGCCAAATCTTGAACCATATATGAAGCCACTGCCACATTTTAGTTTGAGCCTTAGAAACCTTGTTAATAAGTGATGTAGTAGGTTGTAGTAAAACGGCATCTCATCATCAGGTCGAGTTCAGCCATCGGCAAGTTGACGTAAATACCTGAATAACTTTAGAAAATATATGAATCATGCCGACTCTCCCTATAAAATTTTAAAGTTCCCCTCGGTTTTCCTGGGTTTCCATCATGAGATCCTGACCTGGTGAATATGGAACCACCTAGAAATCATACCATAGTGAACGCTGTAGTTGTTTCACGTCGATTTTCTGTGAGGCCATGGTATCACTCCAGTCGAGCCGACCCATTCATGCCAAAGCATGGCTCTCCCACACTTAATAGTAGTGCAGTCTCACCAACTCCTCGACCATTTGTTGAGACAAAAGTCGTGTTTCAAACTTAAATTGTCTTACAGGACCCCTGGGGTCTAAACTTGCCTAACTTTGACACTAATCCCAGAACTTCACAGTAAACTATTACGGACTTATGGTACTTATTTTACTGTCTCCAATCTTACGCACATTTAGTATCGGATTGCCATGAATGTAGCAATAAACATGGTAATGATAGTTTTAGTTTTATGATGAAACTTATTACTTACTACTCCTGTGCTATTTCAGTCTCTGCTTAGCTCCGATTGTTGATAGTCTCATGTTTCATACTCTATAGAGTTTCTGAATAAACGGACTATTCAACACAAAAATCATTATTCAAATTGAACCAGCGGTTCCGGAGATTAAGCCGATCGAAAACAATAAAAAAATCTTTAGCTTTAAAATATTAAGTTTACATTGTATTTTATTTAGAAACTTTGCTGGCGTGGATATAAATGGTATTTTAGAGCATAAGGTTTAATTTCTATGAAACGAGTTGATAATCTATGTATGTGTAATACATCCTCTCATCTCTCCCAGGGCGGGCGAAGAAATCGCATAATTTCTCCCTCTCAAAATAGAGGTGGGAAAACCTGTTGTTTTAAATTTTGTTTTAAAATTCCTCAGTGGAAATAATGTTTAGATAAATTTTAATGCTCTGAAGGTGTCATTAAAACAATCTAGCTAGGTATTAATCCAACTTTGGTATTTTACCCTAGTTTCTACATTCACTATTTTTATAAACATATAATTTTCTTTCTTATCAATATAAACCGTTTATTACCCAAAATTTTCTCTCCGAGTATCACCAATTAAAAAATACACTTCACACAGTCTTTACAACAAATTATCCACTTACACCGACCTCATTAAGCGCGTTTAAGATCCCTCTGAAGTCCCATCAGATCGAGGTATCAGGATCGAACTTGTAACGTAAATCAAGGAGTTTTTCCGATATTAGGACGCGCCCCTCCCTTGGGCCGGCGAGCTGACGACGTGAATCTTAAGTGCGCTTAATCTCCACTCTTTGAGCCGACAGTAACTTACCCTGAATATTTGATGTCATTTCGATTGTGATCCGCTTTCCTTATTCCGTTTATTTCTTTGATAAATTATTATTATTAGGTCGTTTAGCAATTGTTTTTGAGGTTTATTTTGGTCGTGAGATGTTTCGGTAATGCAAAATGATGTCACTTAATAAATTGTCATTTTTGGTTGCTTACATTGCTTTTATATGACTATGCATATTAATGTTATGTCAGCTTTCATTAGGCTTTCTTAAAATTAAATATTACAGATAAGATCGTCATTTGCTATCTGACTATTCTGAGAAGACAAGTCGAAACCAAACACATAATTTATTCATTGTATAGTGATCTGTAATGCTTATCAATTGTCCAATAAGCAGACTAAGCTAAACTGATATTAAAAAAGGTATCCTACTTAGATTATAATCCAAAACTTTTGTGTATCACTAATAATTTTAAAACTGAATTCATCAAACCAACGCTGCAGTCTCGGAACTTTTGTTCTCAAAACTAATGCAATCCCCTTTTATCGATGCATCAAATATCCTAAACCCAAGTTTGAATTCCCTCCTCCATCTGGCGTACGAGCGCACTCTATTACCCTGCAGTGCCCAGACACTTGATGGACGTAAACAAAAGCCACATTTTGGCAACACCCCGCCGCCTGGCAAAACAGACTAAGTAACAAAATATAACTTTAGCGAACGTTTATTTTGGGCCATATTTCCATATAGTGGAAATTGAAGAATAATACACTTACGCCCGTTTTCCTCCCGACTGGTTTATTTTACGTGTTTCTGGATAAACAAAGATTTTTTTGCGTACAAAGTGGATTTTGTTTCTCTTCAGAAACTGGTGTTGGGTTTAGTTTTTAAATTCATGTTTCGGGCTTTTTCTTGACGCCTTTCCACCATTTCGCCTAGGTATTTTTTGCCGAATGTGCGAAACTGTGAAGTTTTATATTCTTCTGTGTTCTTTCTTCTTCATGTAATAAAAACAATATCGTACCTGGATCAGGACCTGCTTCTTGCATTAAATATATTTTTTATATAAAATTAACCACCATTTTGATGGGAATAAATACTATATCATTACAACATTATATCATTCAGACTGCACGGTTGGCGCGGTGGCTGGGCAACTGGCTGCTGCGCAACGTGTCGCGGGTTCGATTCCCGCACGGAACAACTCTTTGTGTGATCCACAGATTGTTGTTCCGGGTCTGGGTGTGATGTGCATGTGAAATTGTATGTTTGTAAACGCACCCACGACACAGGAGAAAATCCTAATGTGGGGCAAAGTTTAAAAAAAAAAAAAAAAAGTGTATCAAAGACTACGAGTACTATTTTGTACCTTATGTATAATTCTAAAGTCGGATAAATACCAAAAAGCGACCGAATAATAGAAAAAATATTTGCTTTTACTTTAACAATTCAAGCAAAAAATGTACCTGATCTATACAATCTAAAGTATTTAAGACCTAGAATCGTGTTGAATTAATTGCAAGTATTTACGTAACTTTGCAACAAAACAATTTAGAGCAACATTATCTACACTTTGCAGACATTTTCCGCAAATGCCTGAGAATGTTCCGAACAAAATAAATTATTTCGTTGTTCTTGAAAATGAGTCTATATTAGCATAATAATTAGGTTACTTTCACCTTTAAGAGGCATAATGTTTAGGCTTGAGTTCCGTGAAGTATTATTCAGATACTTAATTAAATACTTTTTCAAGACACAATTATTTCCCGAAGGTACATTTATGGTGAAACAAATTGTCGCAAAATGGACTCACGCACTTCTAAACAAGTTATAGTCAAACTTTCTATTTATTACCAAACACACTCAAAATTTTCACGTACTCAAACAAATAATGTCACAAAATGTGAACCCAAAACTATTTTAAATGAAGGCGACACTTTTAAGTCGCGGTTCGACCCTCATTCCAAGCTATAAAACCTGGACTCCAATATCGTAATGGACGGCTTAACTGATTAAATTAGGCCCTTTTCACAACTTAGGAGACAAGCGGGTCGTCTACCCCCGCCTTAGAATTTACCAAGCCAAGTTTATTGTATTACCAAAGGATATTCGCGTCGCTTCGTATTAAAATTGGTGAATTTTCATAGGATATTTGCGCGGGAACTGGTTGCTAAGATTTTGTACAGTTCTAGCGACCCAGTTGGAAACTGCTTTCGTGAATTTTGTCAGAGATTTTAGGCCAACTTATAATGTACCTTGTGTTTTATGAATGAGGGTGTTTATTCGACTGTAGCTATGTTTTAGGGTCCTTACTGAGCGAGGAACCCTACCAGTTTTAATAAAGTAGCTGCTGGGTTAACTACTCATTTACCTGTACATAAATTAGCTTTACTCGGGGAAATTAGGACCTTTTGCTCGGAGCGTCATAAAGTAAAATGTTTGTACGGAAATAAATTGGATCATTTTTTTAAGCATTGTCTGGAGACTTTAATATGTAACTACTTCATATTTGAACCCTGAAAATTAAGTTTTTCGGTAAACACAATATGTTGTGATGTTACTTGATGTTCGAGCAAAACTTTACGAAAATACATAACGGAAAATACGTCGTGGTGGCCCGGAGGTTAAGCAGTCCGCTTCTCATGCATGAGGGTGTGGGTTCAAAACCTGGCAAGTACCAATGTGACTTTTTCCGAGTTTTATGGACTTTCTATGATTATTTAGACACCACTGACATACGGTGAAGGTAAACATCGTGAGGAAACCTGGACTTATAATTTCTAATTATAAGTTTGAAATCGCCAACCCGCATTGAGCAAGCGAGGTGATTAATGTTCTAACCTTCTCCGTATGAGAAGACGCCTTTGCTGAGCAGGGGTACTTATAGGCTGATGATGATGATGATGATGATAAAGCAAAATTAAATTTAGAACCAAATCACCAATTGAGCAATAAAAAACACAGTTCTATAATATTAACATTCTTATTTGAAATTACTTGAATCTGACTATAGCATACA